ATAACATCATTCAAATCATTGCGAACTTCAGCTCTAACACGTATAATTTTCAACGAAAATGGCATCATTTACCGTCAGATTTAGATTATGAAAATAACAAAAATGGAAAATGCCGCCCAAATTCGATCGGATCGATTCACAATTCGTTTATCTTTCTAGTTGGCACGAAATTTTAAAAAAATGACACAATTTTAAAGTTTTATTGATTCTTAGTATTTTGTTTCATCGGCAACGATCCAAAATTGTTAATATCGGTTATTCGAAATATAAAATTTTCCGGTATGTACAAAGACGTAGGCATCAAAATAATATCTAAGCTGTTAGAAAATAAATATTCTAAAACTAGCGTAAAGGCTTGTTTACCAACTGACATATACTGAAACTTGAAACTAACATATATTCACATTATTTTTTCAAGCCTCAAAAGGTCGTACCTACTTGTGACATAATTGGAATGTTAAGGAAAAACCGTTAGCAAAGTTCCACTCAAATAGGTAACATAGCCAAACATCAGATTAGATGTTTTGCATAGTGGGTTGGGTTTGACCGTTTCTCATCCAATTCGGATTTGTTAGACCGTTTATACAAAATGTCCATTCGTCACAAAAAAAATAACAATATTTGCGACTAATTAAACACATTTCTTACGCCTGCCGAAAAGTCCTTGTTGAATAATGCGGTGTGGGAATGTACCTATTTGTTTTTAGGCATATTTTTAAAACGCATCACGGTAAATTGATTTGAATTTTCACAATGGAAGTAAAATTTAAACATAGGTATGTAAAAGATAAGCTATCAATCACTGTCAAAAAATTTGTGAAAATAGTCGTGTATAATGTGCATGTTTCTATGCGCACATTTAAAAAAACGATGAAAAATGTTACTAGGTCTGAGATGAAACTAGTCCTCCTGAAATTGAAACTTGGCTGTGACATAGAAAACAAAAGCATACCTACTTATTGGACATTTTATTTGCTTATTCTCTAAAGATTCAAATAGACACCATCCTTAACATAGTAGCTCAACTTATGTACATGTTTCAAATGATACTTCAGATTCATGCTTTTTCTTGCTATATATCTACACAAGTGACATTTGAAGGTTAAATCGTGCGAAAATGGAGTGTAAAATGTCGCATCTATTTCGTCTTTTATGGTGTAAACGGGTCCTAAAATAAAAGATTTATAAATAAACATCTCGACGATTAGAAACTTGAACAGGAATGATAAAATTCACTAGGTTAACAGATACTTTATTCTACCTATCATCGATTTCTACAATCTATTATCTAAATCATAATCTATATATATATATTTTAGAATTCTAAATACAATTTTGCACCAATTTCTCACATATTATAGAATATAGGTGCATACACATTGAAATCCTATCTACTCTTAAATATGTATGTATTTACATTCCACATCCTATATTAGCTATTTTTCTTGTATAAATCAAATAGCAAAAGTTGAAACCTAAACAATTATTTCTAGGCCTTAATTTAAAATAATGCAAATTTCGAAATGCATTTATTTTGAAGAATGAGAAGGTGTATTCAACAACAAATACTACTGGAGTGCGTTTAGAAATGGAGGGTGAAGGTAGAGTAGTTGTTTGTCAGAGTCGTCTGACGTCATCACTTGGAGTGCACTCTGGGTGCGCTATTTCTGAACGTATGGGAGGTTGCAGTGAATGTCAATGTCAAAAATCACGTCAAACCCGGTAAAAACCAATGTAAAAACAGCGGGGCGTTTTTCAACCCAGTACCTGAGTGGGGTAATTTGGGCGCACTCTAGGCACATCAACTTTCGATTTCTGAACGATTCCAGCGTAACGCTCCGGGTAAGCACCTGTTTATTTATGAACGGTTTAGAGTTACTCTAGGGTCACTCTCACACCCAGAGTGCTATTTCTAAACGCAACCCAGAGCCAAACAGAAGGTATGAGCAAAACATTTGGGTCAAACTCATTTTGTTGAACGCATTTTAAAACAGTTTTACCGCCGACTCGAAAAAAATAAAATCATCAGCCAGGGGAGGCCTGAATGAGATAGCAGGACCTGGGAGGATGCCCGAGAGGCCCAATGGAGCCTAAGTTTCGCCCTCCACCACATCCAAATCCACAAGAGAATAATTTGACTGATAAGGTGATTTAAAATTGTATTTGACGGTTAGAGAAGATTTCAAAGAAATTGAAGACGATTCAAACGGATTGATATTTTTTTTTTTTATAAATATTTAATCTTTTATTCTCGCTCATATTTTACTTCATAATCTATCCAGGAACCACCATATTTCTATTGAAGAATACTGCAATCATGAACTTTTCGATCTGAAGACTTTGAGGATGACTTTTTTACTAGGGAATTTTCGAGAGCAGCGACCTTTTGGAATATAAACCAATAGTATCTAAGAAAAACACATGTGTTATTCGTAGCACCAACTGCTAATGACTCATACTATGAGTCTGTAATGTTTCTGGATACGGCCCAGATTGCACAACACGTGTGGTTGGTTATGCCTTTTAAGACAGCAAAGAGAAACCAAATTCTCATTTATTTTATGCTCGCTAGCTACAGACCGGTTTCAAGTTTGTTAGCTGTCATCAGTGCATCATGAAGCTTCATACAGACTTGAACAGTACGCCGGACAACAAACAGAACAACGAACCGAACAACGTTCGAAACACTAATTTGGACGGAGCTACGAACGCGTTTGCAAACCGGTTCGTGAATTTCGGCCGTTCGTAACCCCGTCCAAATTAGTGTTTCGATTGTCGTTCGGTTCGTTATTCGAGCGCATTTGGTCGCATCGGACAGACGCAACGAATGAAAATTATTTTTTTCCTATTTTAAGTGAGATAATTCACACCATACGTATCGAACGCATCGTGGAAACGAAATTCCGTTCCGGATTATTGAAGAAAAAAAAAACGTGTATGCAATGCGTCAGAAGTGCTCATCTTAAGCCGCGTCCAGATTAGTAAATAAATGCGTTGCGTTGAATTCGGGATTCGCCACAAATTTTTGCGACGCAAATTTGGCATCTTGACTGACATATAAATATTTGTGTTGTGCGCCGTGCGTTCTTGCTCAACGCGTGTGTGCCTATTTTATTTCAGTGTGCGCGTTGCTTGTTGTTGGTTATTTGTTTCGTTCGCGAAAAAATGCGTCCACACTAGAATGATGTTGCGCCACAAATCCCTTTGATGTCTTGAAAAAACCGACAAGCCGCGAATCGCGTGCGTTGAATGTCGTGAAAATTTTTGCGTGCGTCTGTATACGGCGAACAGGTCCACACTCGCATAAATTTGTATCGCACACACAAATTTGTGCCGAATACCACGCACAACGTAAATTTTTGCTAATGTGGACGCGGCTTTAGATCTCAAAAACAAACCCGAAAGAGAAAGATTACGTAAAGCTTTTTTGATTGCACTAAATGAAAATACGGCAAGCAAATCCGAATAGACCGAATATAATGAACATGTGCGATGATGACAAAAATAATACGATTCGTCCGATGCATCCGTTGCGCGCTTACCTCAAAGATGGTGTGACCCTAAAAAACGACTTAAGCTACCTGAAACAAGAAACAAATTCTAAGATCTCTCGTGAAAAACGCATCAGTCCTATATTCGAAATAGTCTCCAAGAAAATTCCTTGTGAAGATAACTTATGCAGGAACTTGTGATGTCACAACCGCAGTCTTCTGTTCGTTCAGTCGTCAGTGAACCGTACCGTATACTTTGAATGGTTGCAATTCGTTCTAGGAGATAGTTGTCTTTTGTTTTGGGAAGTGTTAATACCGAGGTTAATACTCTCCCTGATAATCAAGTGTGACGTCACAAACACCTAGTTATAACTTTAAGCCGCCCTAACTCAAAAACGGACCAACGTAGCAATATGCGGTTTAAATATTTATTTTTAGATTTTTTAGCACTAAAACTTTCATTTTTGGGTCACACCCCCTTTAAAGCCTCAAGCCCTGGTCCTCCTACCCTACCAGGAGGTTCAGGTAATTTGTGGTCGAGGTTCTCCTCTTCTAGCCTTCGATGAGGCAACATCCAACTACAAGGCAGCAACTTCTCCGCCGCTCTGTACCATGGCAGGGGATATCAATAAACATATGATGCTGAGCAGCCTTAAAAATGGGACCCCTGGCCTGACTGACTGAGAAATTGGAAACATTCAATAATGTTGCGAGGAAACATAACTATTAGTTAAAACTCACCACCATTGGCAATTGCCACCAATTATATATAAGCAAAACCACTTGGTCGTTGGAAAAAAAAACAATTATCGTTTTTAAACATACAGCATAAATATAGAAATATGCCTTTTTAGAAATCCCGAAGAAGTGCTTTCAAAAAGACTGGTTATGCTGTATAAATACCAAAATGTCTTTACATAAACGTGCCTTGTAAAACTACAATATTCTTTAATTTGTTTTTATTATAATGTATAAATATTATTTTTAGTAAAATTTATTAAGATGCGGTTTACGCAATAAGTTGTTATCCTACCACTAGACCAGAAAGTCTTAGCTACTACAATATTATTGTAAAATGTTATAACATTTACTTATTGAACACCCAAAATGGGGTCATTCACGATTGTGTCAATTCCATTTTCCAAATGTGGAAAACGAAAAATATAATTATTTCGGGGGCGTGCGCCCAAGTGTGACGTCAGCTCACACAGTGTTGCTGAGAACTTTGACTTCAGATGTTCAGTACGGGAAGCGAGACAGCATTCGGAGCCAGTTAGATGCATTCATGTACACTCAGCAAAGCAAGCATTCGATGAAACTCTATATTCACGAATACTGACAACACGACTGTAGCAGCAGAACTCAAATATATCTGTTAATTTGAATTCGACTTATCTGATTTTCGCAGGTAACTAGGTGATTTGACTCAATTTGTCACAATATCTACAAACTTATTTGAAATTCAATTCAAATAAATGACCCCATTAATAGACGTATTTGCAATTTTACTCTGGTTCGATTTTAATATTAATTTCCGTATTTTCCTGCTCAAGCATATATTTTTCGGGATACTTTTTGCAAGCTTGCCTCTGAATATGAGCATACCATGTTTGGCGCAGTTCAAAGGAGTAATTGCATATGTCACAAATAAATGGCGGTCCTGAAAAAATATAACTTGGTTTTCGTATTATGAAAAAGTTGGTTGGTTTTTTTACCTGGAATGCTAGGTTTTTGATTCTCGCATACTCTTCTTTTCAAGTGGTATTCCAAAGATGAATTACTTGTGAAAACTCTCTCACATTTTTCGCATTGAAGTAATTTTGGTTCCGGTTTTTCTAAATTTAGATATTTAGTTAAGTTTTCGATATTTTTCAAAGGTACTCAACTTACCTCCTGCTCTGAGGCAAACTTGGTGAGACAAATGATACCGAAGAGAATTATAATGTTTAAAGGAGGCATTACAGAGAGGACAAGCTCGTTCTTCTTCAACTTTGGGCTCTTTTGGTTCTTTGGGAGCGCAAACGTTATGTTTCACGTGATAACTTAAAGCAGTGGTAGTTGAGAAGTTTTTTTCACATTCTCCGCACTGTAACGGCCTAGGTTCCATTTCTTCTGTAAAATTTATCAAAAATATTATTACTTGTTTAAAACCTAATGTGTACCAATGCTACCTTTTTTGGGTTTCTCACATACTTTGTGAGTGAGATGATATTGCAAGGACGTCTTGTGTCTGAATATAGTTTCGCATTTTTCACATTTAATTATTTCTTCTTCTGCAATAAAAATATGAAATGTACCATAAGCAAAATCTTACACTAGAAACTAATTGGGTTAGGAGTGAAACATTACCTTTCTCTTCTTGTTCTTGTTCACAAACTTTTCTTCTGACATGATAATTCAAGCCAGTATTTGTTGCGAACTCTTTACTACATACAGGGCAGCGTAAAATTTTTGGCTCGTCTGCAATTATTTATCAATTACAAACTTGCCGATTGTTACATAATTACGATAAATTACCTTTTTCATTTTCTTGTTCACAGACACTACGTCTGATGTGATATTTGTATCCGGAGCCTGTTGCAAAGACTTTTTCACATTTCTCGCATTGGAGAACCTTGGGTTCGAGCTCTTCTAAAAATGTGTTATGTTATAATATTGTATTGATTTTTTAGGGCTTTCCCAAATTAACCCAAACTACCCAAACTAACCTTTTTTTGGTTTTAAACACACCCGATGTTTTTTATGGTACCTCAAAGACGACATATGACGGAACCCAGTATTGCAAATATGGCAAGCAATATCTGAACCTGTAATATCTCGACCTAGCTCTTCCTCTTCTATATAGCTATCCATATCAAACATACTCGATGCGACATCGAAATCATCTTCGATAGAAATTGAATCTAAAACTTCCTTTCTATTTTGTTCGTTTGCTTCAGCTTCATTTTGAGTATCGGAATTAAATTGATTATGTTTGATCGTTCGGGGATTACAATTTCCTTGAGAACTATTTTCGGTTGCTCCGTGCGGAGTTTTGTCTAAAAGTGGTTTTGAATTAGTAAGGTTTTGATCAAATGTTTACAAAAATAGTTAAATAAAGCGCAATCGCATTACAGCATAAACGCCGAAGAATGGATTAGACTGGGTTGTAATGTTAAAACAGGGATTTCATATCAAAAACGGGTAGTTGGTGAAGTTGATATCTAGAAATACTAACATATATTCTATTAAATTATTAAGAAAATCATACATAAAAGCTCTGAGAAAGCAAAAAAGTAAGTAAATCCAAGTTAAAATATTTATGCCAGGCCAGCCAAGGCCACTCTCCTATGATTCTTGAAGCTTTTCTTTGGTTTAGGTTTCTATAGACAGTTTTCCAAAAGGCGACTATTTTCCTTTTTTACTCACATACCTTCTATTATTGTCTAAAGATTGAGGAGAAATATAGAGTCGGCTACAAATTTAACAAAAATTTACGATGTCTGAAAAAAGTGGAATAATAAAAAATATAATAACTCACAACACCTTTTCTTCTGAACCATAAGACAAACGCCCGGTAAATATTTTCATACGTTATTTCGACTTCTTTTGCATAAAATTATTTCCATCAAATTCCACCGTTTTTGACTGTGAATCTTGTATAACCCAAATAAACACAGAAATGAAGACAACTCAAATCCTAAATGATTTCGGTGAAATTTTTTGAATTTATTTCAAATGCTGTTTTGCAATTTTGTAGTTGAAGAAAAGAAAATTTGAATATGGCCAACTTTTTAGCAGAAGCAGGAAGCCATTTCCGTACTTCCAATTCAACACTTTAGTTATAGCTATTGTTCAAAGACAGTCTGTCAATATTTCTACTGCAAACTGCATGTTATTGAGTTAACAAATTATATGCGCGTATTTATTGATGTTTTGGGAAAAACGCTTGAACCATACAAAATTGAGCTTTGTTGATTTAGTCATTTTCTGCAGCCAATTTGTTTCTTATGGTTTTTATCTATTCACACGCACATTCTGGTGTATCGGATTGCTGCCATTTTAAAAGGACGTCTTTTTTTAAAATAATTCGGTATCAATTATGAACATTTCAACGTTGTAAAGCTATAAAGCTACGCCATTTTCATTAAACATTTAAAAATATTTCGCTTTGAAACTGACAGTATTTTTGAGTGTCAGTCTGATCAATTTTATAGATATTTTTATAAAATAATACACATAAGTTTCTAAAACTATGTCGGGTTTATCGGTCGAACATACAGAAGTATGCCCCACAATCTAGCCTGGAGAATTATTGATCTGCGTTTCAACAGAGTCAAGCCGAGAATTATCCAGACATTTGAAGAAGGCTTGAAACGGTGTATAAGCGGCCCGCGACGTCGATAAAGAAATAATTGATCAGCAGAACGATCAGTTATACCTCAATGCTTAATTAATTTGACATGCATGTTGAAAAAATCAGGTGCTCGCTGTATTGAAAAGTACGGACGATAACAGAGACAAAAAAAAATAACACGAATACGACCAGTTTCAAAACATTTTGCAAGAATAAGAATACACGAGAAAAAATAACAAGAACAGGACCGGCATTAGAAAATTCTGCTATGCAAGAAGGCTTAGAGAAAAACAAGAACAAACAAAAGGCAAAATAAAAAGAGTCCGGGAAGTCAAATGCGAAATGGAAACAGTCCGAGAAGAAGTCGAAAACGGAATATGGATGAGAGGAGAACAGTTATAAGAATCCGGAGTTGATAGAGAAAACTTGCGATGAACCCAACGATGACAGCGACAGCAAAATAGTTATATCGGTAAGTAATGTCGTTCGAAACAACCCAAATTTCAATTCCATCTTGGTCCAAGAATAAACGACAGTTTGAGGCCGCTACTAGTGCAAATAGATGAAATGAAGAACAAAAAGTTACAGCATGCCAGAAAAGGCGCTGGAAATTCCTGAGAATATTCCCAAGGCAGAACAAAGTGAGGCAGCAGTGGTATGGACCAAGTGTATCAGGACCAGCTGAAAAGCAGAGTCCAAAGGCTATAGGAGAAGCTGCAGCAATTTAATAGTGACATGGAGAGAATGGTCCGGTTGGCATCGCCATAAACTCCCAAAGCCGTCATTGAACAAATAAATACCTATAGCCAGATAAGAAAAGTAAGGATGTCCGAAGAATCCCTGAACGCAGAGGAAGATATTAGCTCAGAAGACCGCGATCTGAAGGAAGAGGGTAAATCCAGACATCAGGGAAACGCCACCTCACCAGTATAAGGGAGCTAACGCTGGCGACCACTGATTTCTCAGCTCCTAATCTACTGCTGCTCTCTATTAAAAGCAATCGTGACAGTTTTGTTGCACGAGACATCTTCAGCAGGAATGTGATATGACCATCGATACGGGGACATCAGTGCTACGTAATTTATACGTACCTGTTCGAAGTGGCTAGTTTGAAGCCATTAGGACTAGATCAACTTTTTAATTAATATACAGTGATTGCCAAAAAATTTGCAACAAATGAGAAAATATTTTATTATTAGGATATCAAAAAAAAATGTTACGTGAGATCAATTCAACATACCCATCAACAAGAGAAATCACTGTGACAGATGTCATGTGACCACAGTCATGGCGGCAAATTTAAAAAGTTCGCCTTAAATATGTGAAAAGTGGGGTTAGACGACCAGAAATCGAAAAATTGTAGAGAGAAAAGTGGTTCAGGATCCGATTTTACGTCCATGTGTCAATTTTTAAAAAGTTACAAGGATTTTTAATAAATATCAATTTTTTGGCCTGTTTTCTGGTAATTTGAAAAATATCGAAAACATTCCGCAAAAATATTGGCTTAATTAAATTTAGAAAAGAGTTATTGGATCATTTAGAAAGATTTCATGATAATTCTAAATTTGTTATTCCAAATTTTTGTTTTCTGGAGATCGTTGCAACAAGATCAAAGTGGTCTGAAAATGAATTTTTGGTTTTTTACAATTTGTCGCGGGACAATTAAGCAGAATTACCGCACTGGATTTTTTTTTGTTAGTTTTACTTTGAATTATGTGGACCAGGCGGACAGTTTTTGATATTTTTCAAATTACCAGAAAACAGGCCAAAAAATTGATATTTTTTAAAAATCCCTGTACCCTTTTAAAAGTTGACACATAGACGTAAAATCGAATCCTGAACCACTTTACTCTCTGCAATTGTTCGATTTCCGGTCATCTTACCCCACTTTTTACATATTTGAGGCGAACTTTTTGAATTTGCCGCCATGACTGTGGTCACATGACATTTTTTTTGTTGATAAGTATGCTGAATCGATCCCACGTAACTTGTTTTTTGATATCTTAATAATAAAATATTTTCCCATTTGTTGCCAACTTTTTGGCGGTCACTGTATATGTTGTTTTTGGGTATAGGTATATGTGTATATTGTCTGGGTGACCGATTCGTAACTAAGCTTTAGGATTCGAGAGAAGTAAATTAGTTTGTTTTTCTCGTTACCAGTATTTTAAATACTGATTTGAGAAATGTTTAACAATATTGTATTTATGTATTTGTTGGAATAAATGATTTTCAAAAAACTGCCGTGGAAATGTCAAAGAATGGTGCAAGAGATGCGACCAAGAAATTTCTCAAGAGGAGAAATGAAGTTATACCTATCTGAGCCGCTTTCGAGTGCAGATTGCGAAGCGCCTAGAACACTCCACACCTGTCATACTCCATGCGTTGTTTTGCACTCCTCCACGGGTCAAGCTGTAGCCGGAGTACTTCGGAGAAACTCGGGAGGGCTCAAAGGGTGGCATCCGAAAGCAGCTCTGGTTGCCCTTACAGTTGCTCACGCACGACCAGGCATATAAAAAGTACACCCTAAGGAACGCAATCCACCTAGAACCAGCTTGTAACAAATTTATTCTAGGTTGACATATATCGCCTCTAATACACAATTTACATTATCTGAGATTTTTTTGTGCGAAAAATATAGGTAAAAGTATATTGGGGAGTCACGCATATTTTCAGTACCAAGGGCTCTTAAGTGAGTGAAACCGGTCTCGCTTTCAAACATTGCAAACTGCATCAGTTTACGATTTGTCTTTTGTATAGCGCATGTAAGAAATAAATGCAAAACTAAACATAATGTTATATTGTTTATTTTTGCATCAATTGCATCGCAGCTTTAGTCTGGTTTTTATTCCTTAAATAGTTCCATCAACATGTCTTCTTCAAGTGATTTAAATATGACAAACGATACATCTATCGACTTAGATGATCAATTATCCAAAGAACATAAAAGTTTGACTTTTGCGGACAAAGAATTTTCCATTAACGATGTGGGTATTTCATCGTGTGAAGCATTTGAAGCAAAGACTCCTATATTAGTAAGTATACCATAATTATAATTAGGTTTTTAAAACTAATTCTGAATATTGTCTGTCTTAGCCACAGCATCAAAAATACTTAACAGAAATTTCGGAATTTCTAGAAGGCACTAAATTCGCAGATGTTATTACCATTGAAAATTCAAAACATGTACAAGTTGGACACGTAATGTACACATGTAACAGAACAAATTATATTGAATGAGAAACCCGTTGGAATGAAACACAGAAAAAGGGACTAAAATGGTCGAAAGGGCACATTGGCTAGCTGAACCAAGAGTTGCCGACATTAACTATTTGAAAAAACCGGCCAAATACGTTATAATTTGTGAGTAGATTGATAGACTGAATGCCTTAGATCACTTTTACCATTCCTCATTAAACTAAGTTACTGTCAATGACGGTAGAATAGGTACAGCTTCCTAATATATCAAAAACTTCATAAGTATTTGGTAGGGGCTACTAATAATTCATGGTCATTTGATAACAGCCTGTGTAACGTAACATTTTAATTATTCGCTAGTGTTTCAATGGGTATTTCTGGTTCGATAAACATAATCATGCTGAAACTTTGAATTGGTCCTCGTGAAATGTGAAAGCAAATAGTACATTAAAATACAAGTTTCATAAGACGTCATTTTATCGCGAGTGCGATAAAATGTCTTATGAAACGAATATTTTATACTATTTTTTCTATTTTGGTATTGTTGAATTTAAAAAAAAAAACAAATTTTTTTTGGAAACTTTATTCTCATAGTTCCAGATTTCATGTTTAGGGTGGTGACACTACATGCCAAATATAGAATTAAATCTTCTATAAAAGGTCTGTTTCTGCAGAAATCACAAACCAGTCAGAGTGAATTTCATTGGTTGAAACTAGTTTTCTGACTGTTTCTGACTGTTTTCAACCAATGAAATTTGCTCTGACTGGTTTGTGATTTGCAGAAACAGACCTAAAATCGCGAATGACATTTCGATGGCCATCAGTCAGCCAGTGTTACCAACTTCCGATAAGTAAAACAGGAGTGTCACAAAGAGCTTCTTTTCGAAACTACTTTTATTGTCGAAAAGACTTCGATATGAAACCAAAATAGAAAAAATAAATTAGAGAAGAGATTTTACTGCAAAAAGATGAAATTCAATTTCTTTAAAAATACTCCAACTTACATTTTTTGATCTTTTTCAAAAAAACACTTTAGGATGGTGATGATTTCAACTTAGAGAGCAGACCGAAGAATAATGTAGCAGAATTTCAAATTATTCGAATATAATCTAAAAATATGCACTAGAGGGAAATCGCACTCTAAGCCCTCAAAGTTTGAACGTTGTAAAACTGAAAATTATTGCATAGAGTGATGTCCAATAAAGTGTTGTGTCAAGTCAACGTGTTTATCAGTTCCAAAATAATGATAAATTCTGTTACGACTTTGACTGATAGTAAATGTTATTGAAAACTTCAATGACATAGCTGAACGGAAGTAAACTGGGCGCCAAGTAATTATGGAACATCTATTGAATGGGTAAACTGGGCCGAGAAAGATAAGGGTTCTCCAAAATTGATAGTTTAACTGGGCGAGAGGCCCTATAATCCTTCAGGTAAATAGGACGAAAACTGGTAAACGAAAAATCACCAAAATTTAAATTGAGTATTATTTATTTTTACATTTTATAGTTACAGTACATGAATTATAATCCTAGAAACAAAATATGCTATGATGCAGCTCAATTTCATAGGTATATGTAAACTTTCTAATTTATATCAATTTGACATTCTTGTAATTTTTGAAAAAAAATGTATTGAGTAAAATGAATTGTTAAAATTAAGCATGAAATGACTCGCAACCAGTAGTTTCTTGACACCAAATTATTAGGGCCAACGGTATAAACTCTGGCTTTACACTTTAACCTTTTTTGGCTACATCTCCATTTTCACCACTTTTCAAAACTGTGTCTCTTGAATACGTGAAATGTTCAAAGACTACACTGTATACACTCTCGAGGCTAAGTACAAACTCTTATCATATTATGCATATTTAATAATCTTGGATATAATTCGGATGGGTAATTAATGACTCTCTTCAAAAATCGGGTAAATTTTTTTGCCGTCCAGTTTACCTACGCTGGTCATTTTTCATTTACTTGATCTCGCTCAGTTCACCTTTCGGATTGAACAACCTTTTCTAAATTATAGCTATTTACCACCGCCGACATAGCGATTACAACATATTCCAACAAGCCGGATTACAAATACCTAGAATCGCTGTATTCATCACAACTTACGTACCTATCTTAAAGTGTTGTACGCGAAGTAAGTAATTTTTTTTCCTCCTCTAAAGAACTTCTTGAGAAGTTCAATGAAGGGAAGGGATTTTGCATCATTATTTAGATGGGCAGGACAAATTAAGTTGTGAATACTCACTGATTTGTATTTCGCACTGTCAATATAAAAAACACAGTCTTTTCATCATGAAAATCTGCTTCCGAAACATAAAAGGTGATAGGTTTATAAGACGTATAATTATATGTTGTTTGTGCATATCCATTTTTTTTGCAGCAGCTAGCGTTCCTGATAAATAAAGGCTTTCTGTCTCAAATACAGGAATTCACTGACTGAGCTTCTCTGTAACTTCGTCTATGCATTATGCCTACCTACGTTTTCGCTGACCATTTTTTTTTTTAATTTATAGTTTATATTAATAGTTTAATGATTATGGTCAAGAGATAAATCGGATAAATGTTCTAAGACATTCCTAGTAATCAACTCATACAATTCTGCATGTCATTATTTTTTAAAAGGTCATACAGCTACTGAAGAAGCCTTCACCCAAGAAAAAAATACCCTAAATATTCGACTGATTCAAACTTATCATATTGAAAGCAAAGGATGGGCAGACATTGGTTATAACTTTTGTGTGGGCTCAGATGGTAATGTTTATGAAGGTAAATAAGCTAAAATGTAAAAATGAAAATCTTACAAACTATGGAAAAACGTATTTTTAGGCAGGGGGTGGTTTGCGCAAGGAGCTCACACGCTAACTTACAACCCATACTCCGTGGGCATTGCATTTCTTGGTTGTTTTCTCCAACACTTGCCCCCGAATACAGCCCTGAAAAGATGCAAGGACCTCATTGCGCAAGGTGTGAAAATCGCGGCTATTGAACCAGATTACGAACTGATAGCGCATTGTCAATGCAGACCTTTCAGAAGTCCAGGGCCAAGACTTTTTGAAGAAATCAAGACTTGGAAGAATTTTAATCCTCATATAACAAATACTATGCTGTGCCCATTGGAGGTGTATGAAGACACCTAGTAATTTACTTACTTATTTTATATTATCATTTTTTTTGGCAATAACTCGAATAGAATAGCTTCTCAAATATGAATATCCGTTTCAAGCTATTTACTGAGAAGACTAATATAATTTTGTTATTTCTAGATGCTAGAATTAGGTTAGGTACAAGTACATTAAAAGAATAATTTTTTAATGTAATTCTCAATTATTGACACTTACTTGTTCCCTCGCTTGTTCCGATCTCCTATCCTATCCTATTCCGGATTAAAAATACTAGTGCTGGTATAAAAATTATTTGTGCAAAAGTTTAGGCAGCTTCCTTCAAAAATAATTGTTTGAAATTCTTGAGTAGGAACTGTAGATGATCTTCTACACCAATATTTTTGTACGTGGGAATCAATCTTAAATAGGCATTTTGAAAAATGAACAAATAGGCGTGAAGTGGTCAAATATTTCAATAAGAGTGGTTACATAGCCATTTCTTGGCCAATTTCAGAAATAGGAAATGGAAATCCGTAAGTTTTAGGAATGTGTATTCAACTCCCAAAATCACCCATCAATTCAATGGTCATCTGAAATGTCATGCACATCCCATCTTTCATCTTATTTACTATATATACATGTACAATAGGTACATTCAACTTTTTTGTTATTTCTATCCTATTCTCATTAAGTTATGATATTATTTGTCTATATAAATCCAGCATCAGTCACTTTGCACTTTCTATAGCAATTAAGTTTTGAAGGTGATAGTCTGCTTCTAAGCTACTCTGTGACACTGGGAAAACATGTGTATCTGTACCTTATTCGCACTTGAGTAACTTCATGTGTGGACTTCAATGTAGATTTTTGAACTGCTGTCTATATAGGGTTATTGGTAGGTAATTCAATACATTCCTCTGGAGATGTGATAGGGGATGAGGTAAGGAGTAAATTTAACCGCAAAATACTTTTTGCAAAACTCAATAGTTTTTGAGATATTTGTTGTTGTGTTGGGAAATAATCCAGTAGAAAAGTTGGAAAAATAAACGATAGATTTTTTGCTAATTAATTTTTAAGGCACTTAGGCCATGTTTTCAAGAAAAACAGAAATATTGAAATATCTCACAAACTATTGAATTTTGCATAAAGCATTTTTATAGTTAAATTTACTCCTTACCTCATATCCTATCACATCTCTAAAGGAATGTATCGAATTACCGATAACCCTGTATAAACTTTACAACATTCAGTCATTGCTCTGAAGCAGCTCACAAATACATACATACTACAGCTATTCTTGACAATTTTACTGTCAGTCCAGTAATTATTGTAGCTTACGCTTCAGCGGATGAACTGAAAAAAAAAAAACTTTCTGCAAGGAAAGGAATTTGTTTTATTTGAATGATAGTGTGGATTTTTGAAGGGTTTCAATTATACTTGGTAGCACATAATTTCAATGCGCTAAGCAAATTAACTCAAACAGTCTATATTTAACACATTTATGTACAATAATAAATTAATATCACATCAAGTAGGTAAGGAATAAATGCAGTAAAAATAAAAGTAGGAAATTCTAATACATAATGTGTACACAAAAAAATTCTTATATTCCTTCTTGAAACTAGAAGCAGACTAGATTTCAGCTTGCCCAAATGCCCAACACCCAAAAATATATTTTCCCGTGTAGCATTCAGCAACTTTAGCAAAGTTCAAAATTATGAAGTATTCTCCTGAATTCCGTGCTTGAACTTTTTATGCGTTTGCATATGATCAATCCTCTTGGATACATAGGAGCAAGCCGGGCAACATATTTGTGGATCCTTGTTGCACTCAAATTTTATGTGTCGTCTCAAGCTTCTCAAATGCTTGTATTTCTTTTTACAAGTTGGACAACTGTAGAGATCGCGTAGACGTTCTGAAAAAGTTCCAGGAATTATGGAATAAATTGTTCATTTTTCAACATATATAGAAGCTGATAAATAACATAAATTTTTTTGTTAAAGACAAAGTACTTAGTTTAATGTAGGTTATGTTTAACATAGTTCAAATGTGTCAGTCAATGGAATTTGTTCAAAATGAACACCATGGATATGTTTCTTTAGGTTATCTTTTCTTTTACAAATATATGGGCAAAACTGGCAAGGGAAAGTAGCCGTTTTGCCACATTCAAACTTGAAGTGTCGTTGTAAACTTTTTTTTAGCTTGTAAGTTTTCCTACATGTCGGACAAGAGTGAGGACCGCTGATGTCAAAACCTGAAAGATATGAAGGAAAAATAATTGAACCCGGCAGATCATTTTCATTCTTCTCTAAACACTCTTGCTACTCTATCTATATAGATGGGAACCAATTTCACTATGATCTTGGCATATAGTGTCGATGGACTAAGTATATTCTAGAATTCAATCAAACAGCAACATCTACAAATTTTCAAAAATACAAGATTTTAAATAACGTATGCCCTGCTAATTATACTCTACATCATCTAGAATATTCTACATAATTCATGATAAGTCACAACAACACACTCTCTTAGATCTCTGAAAGAGAATAACAAGGTTTCTTTGGTTCAGTATGGCGCCATCCGTTGGCGTATGCGCTAGCACACTTGAATATTAATTGGTTCCGGTTCTCATTATCCATACTAAATTGCACTGAAGAAGTGCAAAGACTTGTAGTTGGATCCGCAACGAAAACTGAAAGCTGGGTAACAGTTTACCATGATTTGACGCTCAGGATAATACTTGTTTGGATTCACGAGCATATAGGACAAGAAGGCGACAAAATGGCATACATAGCAAAGAAGGAAGCCCGACAGAGATCGTAGGTATACAATTATAAACAGAAAAGATCAAAGCACTCATCCCTTATCCAGAGTCCTTCATCCAAGTTTGGTTGATCCTTATTAATAGGATGTCCAAAATTTGCTGTCAAACTTTCAAGCTTTGAAGTACTTTATCTTATTTTTTTTCAATTTAAGACCCTGTATGTTATAATATACTCTACCAAAATTCCTAACATATTTAAAAGTATTCACTAAAAACTCATTTTGGCAACTAGTGCAATATCAAATTCAACAAATAAAAATCGTAGGGGACTTTGAAAAACAATGTTCAACATCTTTTGTAATAAAATTTATTGATTCAACCATTCTCTTTATTTTGACTTTTGAAACAGGCACGAAGATAGGTTAGGGGCAAGCCATACCTATTCGAAAATCCATCCACTGAGATAACGCTTGTTGAGTAAATTCTTGTTCGCCCGCACATAACTAATTCTCAGAACCTCAGCCCACTCAACTACGACCATAACAATTATGGTACTCCCGTTACAATAAATGCCTCATGTGCTCACTCACATATTATTATATATTTTTTTTTTTTGTAAAATCTTTTACAGCGAATAGAGAAAGCAAATTAATCGAGTGTAGTTATTAGGCATAGAAAAAAAAAGAAAACGATACTTATATGATATGATATGCCAAAAAAACAAATACATAAATAAAAAGGATACTGGGATCCCATTCTTCCTCCTTACTTGCTTCAATCGAAGTTGAAACCTGAGCCACCTAAGTTTCTCGTCTAAGTGGGCGCTAGAAAAACAAATCGTTATTCCGCTTTTTTCTTTAGTCCTGCAAGGGTTCTCGTACGTATCCACACACAGCTAATCCGTAGACTAGCTATCATCTAATTGAGTGTCAGCTTTGTCTTCAATATCACTGGGCTTCTCCTAATGACAAGGGCATAAGTTTCCAGTGTCCAGTCTGCTTTATGCCTTGCTTCGTTGGTATGGTATTTCTGGAAAGTATTTGGCCTTCGTGTGATAAGAGATCCATCGAAATCTGCTCGTTCAGAAAGAGCAAGGCTTCGTTTTTGGAAGTACATTTTAAACGTAATTGTTCGGGTGTGCCTTTTTGTCAGGGCAATAGAACAGTTACCTACGTATAGTCAAAGTGTGGTTGTAGCGGAACATCATGAATATGCTAGATGAATCGTGCGCATTCCGTCGTACCAGATCCAGTCAATGTCCATGGAGAAGAAATCAAGTAACTCTGTAGTCGAAACCGTTCGGAATAAGGTTCGGCTCTACTGCTCTAACCATTTTGCTCACGACAGATAATAAATAAACTGATGTGGCGATATTTTTGGGAAACTTCTCAACTACTCAAGGTTTGTTGACCATGATAATCACGGCTTGTTATCTATTGGCAGGTCTGGTATAAGAAAGTTGAAGTTTCGGCAAGACGAGAAGTAGATGGTTTCAACAAACACATAATATTGGGTTGGTAAATGTTCAACCAATATAGAGTTATTAAATTTTCAAAAACTAAAGGAGAGACATCTAAAATCCTCTTTATCGATAATGTGAATACAAAATATCGATAGTCCCGGAGACTCAACAGCCGTGCAGCTCCGCTATAATGGATACATTTTGGTAAAATTTTATGAGAGATTAGAATAATTCGTCATCATCCTGAAAAAAAATAAATATTAGTATCGGGAAAAAGCCAATACGTGTACTAGTTTAAAAAGTTTAATGGCCAAAATACAAGAAGCCATTTTTATATAATAACATAATTTTCTCCGTAAAAGTGTTGTGCTGCAGCTTGACCAAGAAAGTTATCTTAATCTTCCGTGCACAAAGTAAGATTATTTCAACATGGCAGTTGACATAAAAACTCAAAACCTCTTTAAATATACTACAAATCAAAACCAAAAGTGAACAGAGAGAGGACACCAGTCCAGTGGCCGAACGTATCGCCCTGAAGTGGCAGATACGCATGCGCACACGATAAAATATACAAATGGCATGAACGTAAAGTTGATGGAAAATGCAGTAGCATCTACCCGAATAAAGTGTCGAGATCAGTCGAATTTTTCTGATTCAGAAGAAACAATTTTCTCCCAACACCCTAACCCTACTTATGAACCTTACGACTTGTTTTAGTTTTTTTTTTTGGATATCCGCCTACAAACTTGCCTGTTCGATACTAGAACCATCTGATCGGTCTGTGCCCGTATGTTTGCTCACAACCTT